CTACATGTTTGCTTGGAGCCATTCAGCTTGTAGCACTAAGGGTGAGCAGGTCACAGCACCACCAGTCCCTTCACAGCCACCCAGAGCGGGGCAGCTTGGAGCACACTCAAGGGCCCCGCACGTCACACCTCAGGAAGAATGGAGACAAGAGTCACTGCTGAAGGGTTGCTGTGACACTAACTCACGCTCACTTCCAGGCTCTTTCCTTATCTAACTCAGCAGAATAGATATTTTTTAAATGATTGGCAAGGAACATGAAAAAAGTATTTTGCTCTATACCGCAAGCCACACAAGGAGTTCAGGCAAAAGGCTAAATAGCTTTGCTATTTACTGAAGATGTGGCTTGTAGAGACAAAGCACAGCAGGAAGGACACCTGGAAAGCATTTCCCCTTCCCTTCAGGAAGGGGCAAAAACCCTTGGTTTTACAGAATTTACAGATTTCAGTAGAAAGGAATGATCTATCTTTCCTTCTGCGTTTCCTTCCAGAAATATGAAAGTGAATTTCGACCTCTGTCTTGCACAGCCTGACAGTAAGTAGCTGTAACTTACAAAATGTAGGAGCTTCATGCTGTTTCTTAGCTCAGGCATGCTTTAAAGGGAACTGGGAAAAAGTACTAGAATTGCAAACCAAAATAACCCCCAGCGCTGAGCTGCACACTAAGTGTGTTCAGACAGTTGCAGAATCTGCAAATTCCCAACTGAATCCAGACACTGATTATGTCTGTCACAGCAATAATATTTCACTAATGCTCCTCCTCCAGAGAGGCACAGCAGCCGGTTTTCCCTGACAACCTTCCATCATGACACAGTCCTCTGCTGCCAGCAAAGGCCTCTCCCCACAGCCAGCTCCATGGCAATGCTCTCTCTGCAGCAAAGTGAACCACCCAGCTAGCTACCCAAGGCTCCTGGGCTCAAGCCCATGCCTTCTCTTTGTAATGTGGATTTCTGCATTCTCATGTTGCCCCTACCACACAAGAACTTCCATAGAAATAAAAGAGCAAGGTGACACAGAAACCCACAAAAGCCTGCTTAATAAACACCTTTCTTCTCTACCACTTAAACACCCAGATCTAATAATCACCTTCATAATCCTCTTTTCCTCCAAATAGTCAGCCTTCCTGAAAAAAAAATATCTGTTGAAGCTGCACCAAACATGAACTCTGCCCTACACCTCCAGTTATTTTAAACAACTGTCTTGAGACAGTAACATCCAGTTCATCAGTCTGGTTACTGATGCAGTACTGGTTCACCTGCTGCAGACAATTCTCAGAGCCACATACGTCTGTGGAGACACCTAAGAGCAGCAGCCAGTGGCCACAGAAACAAAGGGTCAGTAGCCAGATCGGGCACTGAGCCTGACCTGGTCCTGCACCTGTTCCTTCCAGGGGGAAGCTGGGGGAAAATCCCTCCAAAACCAGGCCAAGAATGATGCTGCAAGCTGCTGGGCAGTCTCAGTCAACACAGGGCAAGCAGTCACTGACAAAGCCTGTCACCCTGCCCTCTGCTCTCCTCCAGGCCCCAGTGCTCTTCTTGTGGTCACGCTCCTCCACCTGCACCCTCCTCCCAGCCCAAGGAGAGTTCGGGGCTCACACAACCCTCCTGCTCCCCCAGCACCTCCTGACCTTCCCCCAGCACAGGCCCCGGCCAGCCCAGCCTGGAGCTGCCAGCACCCTGCGGGCGTCTGGCACCAGCGTCCTTCCCAGCACTAGAGAGCTGGCAACGTGCTTCACACAAGCATTAATTTTATGATAGTTAGCTTATGATTGTGCCTCACTGCCCTGCTATTTTTTAATGCGGGGCTGTAATAGAAGGCGTCTGACAGCCCGGGAGACAGGGGAGCTGTTTCATTGCAGAGCTCCTGCAGTGCTGGTGGCCTTAAGAGCACAGGATTCAAACTCAGTCTATATGAGAGTTTGGACACTGAACCAGAACAGGGGCTCCACAGCTTTACTTTCCACCTCTCTTGTCAGTCCTCACAGCTTCAAGACACTCGCTCAAGTAGCACTTTTCCAAATTAAGTGCTTTGGAAGGAACACAGGTCCTTCCAAATGGTCATTAACAAGGGCCACTCCAACCCATCCTGAGAGATCACCAGCCCTTAGCTCTACTTTGGCACTCTGGCTCTCACAGAATTCACAGTACAAGATAGTTCTGCACACACATAAAGCAGCTAGAGACAAAGAGGAATAGGGACACAGGAGACCAGTGTTACAGGCACTGAAAGTTTTCACATCTACTTTTTGACTCCAGCCCTTCCTCTGACCCTGGCACAGCTCATCTGTTGTGCTACCCTTGTCTAACTCACAGCTGGTGATGTGGCCTGGCTGAGCATGGAGAGGTACATCCACATCAGCCTCACCTCAGCCAGAGCAGCAGACACTGCTGTAAGAGCAGCAGCACAGGCCTCACAGGATTCTCCACTTGAGCACATTCCCAGATCTTCAGCAGGCCAAGACAGCCCACGCTGAAATCTGCTCTGCTTAATCTTCACAGAGAAACAACAGACTACCAAGCTGTGCTGCTGTTTCCTCTTCAATAGCACCTAAACAACCCCAGAGCTGAACTCCTGCACTCACCTCCGCTAGAATACAGGGGGACAACTGTCCTAGATGGTCCTGCCTACCTTCCTCTCTTCTTCTGCACCTCCCTTCCTCTCTTCTCCTGCACCTCCCTTCTGCTGTCATGCTTCTGAGGATGGCATCCTACTGACCACAGTCACCATCTGCAAAGCTCCACAGGAACCAAGGAATGCACGGAAAGAAAGACTGACTCCCTTATGATTTCTAGTTTCCTGAATCGACTGTACTTTTAAGTCTGCTAATTCTTTCAGAAACAATCTTACAGAATTAGCTCATCTGAATTTTTTGACTAGTGACTGCAGCTGGTCAAAAAATCCAACCCATCACTTAACTGCGATGGGAAGCATTGAAATGAGACTGGAGATAGCTACTTCATGGTGCCTATCACAGCACCCCTCTAAGAGCCAGTCTTCTGACTGGTCTGCATAGACCAAAGCCACATGCACATTCAATACCCCAAGGTCTCTCTTGGAGATGCTAGAGATATGCCAGATCCCAGCTACTTCTGCTCCATTACCTCTCTGAGCACAAACATCATGTAAGAGCCTGAACCCTTCCCCACACTGACTGCAAAGAGCAGATGACCTGTCTGGAGCATGGATGGTGCTCAGTATGACACAGTGCTTGTAACAGGAGGTGCACAGACCCCCTGTGCCAGCAGAGAAATGCTTAAGATCTTCCATCCACTGAAGATGGTTCCTCACTCAGCTGGCAACACTTCCCTCCACCAAGTGGGCAGGGGTAGGATGGGGCTGCAGCCAGACCCTCTGCTGCTGCCCTGGGCTGAGGGGCAGCACAACCCCACCAGCCCCTGCACCCAGTGCTCCCTCTCAGGGCTGCAGCCTCCCATACAAAGGAGCACTTTTTACCTTCTAAGCCAATTCTCTGTACAGTTGGAGGTAAAACAATTACCTCATTACAGTCGCACACCAAATTCCCTTCTGGTGGAATTCACATCAGCACTACTGCAACTTTATAACATTTGCATTATAAAAATGTCTGCAAAGGAGGCCAAGAAAAACAGCTTTTTGTTCAGAGGAAGCTCTGTGGTCAAGATGATGTCATCAGAAAGCGCCAAATTAATTTCCTGTGGTTACATCCTACAGGAAATCCAAGAAGCTCAGCTTTCTTGCTAAACCAAGTAGTCATTTGTTGTCAATAACTGTTAATTATGTGCCCAGATGTGTCATAAACTAAGAACTATCATGATTAGCCCTCATTCCCTGGATTCCTCCCAGATGCACTGCTGAATCCGTTTAGATCTGCAGCTCCAGGCCAGTGAAAAGCAGCTGCCCTGGTGTCCCCAGGGAGCCCAGGGCTCTGGGGAGCACAGGTCGCCCTCGTGCCACGCACCAACACGTTTCCTGCCCTTCCCTTCAATCCCCTCCCCACCACGGGGGGATCTGCTGCTCAGAGAAACACTGCTGAGAAGAAGCAGCTACGAAGATCAGACTCTTAGCAGGAACAGGGACCCCTGATCAAGAAAACGACAAATGAGTAACAGCTCTGTATGAACAGAAACAAGGGTATCAGGAGGTTTTCCAGCTGGTAAAATAATCATGAAAATGTCTAGCAGGTCCCTCCTTGTCAGTCCTTCCATAACCTAGATTAATCTTTCCAAGGCTTACTTGAGATTTAAATTATAAAATACCACTTCAATAAAGCACTTAGCTAATCCAAACGGATATTTTTTATGACTTATCAGTGGAAAACTGATCTCTTGCATGTTTTAGATCTCCCCAAAACCAGCTTAATTTACATTAATTCACCCCTTTCCTGCTGTCTCCAGCAGCATCCTCCACCTGCCATGCCATCCACAAGCCTGTTCTCCCTTTCATGGGAGGGGAACACCTTTTGTATCTGTAACTTTCACTTAAAATCATTATTCTGTCCTCACAGTGAACTTCTGCCGGAATCTCTCAGAACACTCTTGAGACCATGTAGCATGCTTCCCTGGCCTGGCAGGGAGCCCAGCACCTCCCCTCCAGCGCTGAATCGTAAATGGTCATGGCAAAACAGCTCCAGTCCAAGCAAGCCCTCCACCCTTCAGACAATACTGCATTCTCAGGTTTGGGTTGATTCTCTTTCTTTCCATTGCTTTTTAAATAAAGAGTATTTGATGTGGACATTCTGGACAGGGAGCCAGCTCACTACTTGTCTGGAAAAGGCACAATGCAGGACGCACCCTAATGGAGCTTGGTGCAGTAGCACCTGTACCACAGGGACAAGGTCTGAGGACAGCCAGGCTCAGCTGCAGGGCTTGTACTGACCCCTGCTCAGCCCCACAGCCCGGGCACAGGGGACAGAGCCAGCAGGGAGGGAGAGGGAATGCTCAGGGCAGGCAGACAAAGCTTCTTGACATGATCATGCCAACCACACCGTGCTGACTCCCAGTTCAACCTGTGTCATAAGCTTCCTACCTCTCTGTCCTTGAGCTTCATGGCGAGCACCAGCTGATGTCTGTGGTTAGTAAGGGCTTCCCGGTAATTCCCTTTGGAGAAGAATGCGGAGCCCAGGTTTCCATGAGCCCGGCATTCTCCTGTCTGGTCACCTGAGTTAAAAGCAAACAAAACAAAGGTTAGCTAAGAAAGGTCCTGCTGGAAGCCTCCAGCAGGAAGACTGAACACCCTGAACAAGTGATACTCCAGTGTGAGAACCAGCATCAGAACAAACACATCCTTATACTTAATGCACAGGTAAAATTCTCTTTGCTGGCCTTCAGAAACTTCTACAGTGGCCTTCAGCCTTGTTTTTAGATTTGTTCTAGTTTCTTCTTTGGTCTAACACTTGGCAATTTCTCATTCTTCCACGTTTATTCCTTGCTTGACATCACTGATTTGTTCATGAAAGTCAGTCAAAAGCCCTGGCTTAAAGCAGGCCAGAAGAGTGCCAGGTTTGGCTGAAAGCAACTCTGCAGCACAGCTCAGACACAAACCATGCTATGATTGTCTTCAAGGCAGCAGTCCCAATACTCTGTGAACTCACCCAGCTAAAGCCTTCAGTCACGTTCTTTCCTACCTCTGCAAGGCTGTGCCTTTGTCTCACATACTGCCTCCTCTCCTACAGCACCCCAAAAGCTTCAAATCTCTCAGTGTTGTGCAGGATATATTGTACAAGAGGGATTTTTCAGCTAATTTATTTTTTACACCCTCTTCTTCAGCCATTGTTTCACTCCTCATTTGTTTCTTCCCTGGCAACTCCTTCAGAAGCTCAGACTGAGTACCTTTTTCTAATTATTGAAATAACAGATTGCTTCATTTAAGACTAATTTAAGGTTTTGAGCCCAGATTTACACAGGGGATAAGACCTGTTCCCACATATATGACAACTGAAAATTAGAGAACCCTGTGAAACCGTAGCACAGTAATTGCTCAATGTGCCCCCTCACACACCGAGCCAAAAAGGCTGCACAAGCCTCTGGTTTGCACCTTTCAGAAGGTTCAGGCTTGATTTAGCACCTTGTGAAATCCCACAGGAACCTGAGCATCACGGAGATGTGCTGGCCATTAACACAGCCCTTCATTTGCTCCATCTGCACCAATCCAGCACTCAAGCAAGTGAAATGAGAACTTTTACCTAAACTCTTGGCTACGTCCAAGTCCTGCTGCATGTATCCAGTGCTCTTCTCCGTATTCCCAAGGGACCAGTACGCGCTGCTCAGCGCAGAGAACACTGATCCCCGCAGCTTCAGGCTGCAAGTGCCGATCTTCAGGGCAGCCTCCAGCACCACCACAGAGGCCCCGTGGTGGCCTGCAGTCAGAAGCTCCTGGCCAATCACAGAGACCACCACAAAGGGGCTCTTGTCCAGCTTCATCTTCTGAAGTTGTTGATAGGTGGGCTCCAGGGACTCTGAAATCAAAGGCAGAGTTATTCAAACGAAGTTATTTACATCTAGAAATCACCTTCACAACTCACTTCATTGTTTGGTAAACAAATGACAGGTTAGTTAAAGGCCAGACTGCCCAAATCAAGCCAACATTTATTATGGAGACTCAGTGCTTAAATGCATCATCTAATATCTAGTACATCAAAACGGAACAACTAGCAAGCTCTTTTCCTTGCAGAAAGCACTTCAGGAAGACAGCATAAGCATGCAGAGCAGCCTCATACTGAGCTTTGAAGACTGGCCTAATGGCAGAAGGAAAACACTTGTGGAGTTTTCTAGGAGACTGAACATGGGCCCCCAGCAGCACTTAGGAGCACTGCAGTTGCTGCTCCTTCAGCACAAACTTTCAGCTGAACAACTGCAAAATCTGTGCCTGTCCAGCTACCACAGCACATAATCTGCAACAGGAGAGGTCGCAAACACTGCAGAAAGCTGCTGCTCCTTCTTCTGCAGGAAGAGGGTACTCCTGCAGAATGACAGCACTGGACCTGCCAGACTACTTGTAGTTGGTCTAATTGTCTCCATCAGTCAGATGATAAAACATCTTGGCTGCATGTTTCAATACAGATATGAATATAACAAGACCCCTGAAGCTGCTGACCAATTTGCATTTCTTGATTAGATGGTCTCACCTGAAGCAACGCTATCACAATCACCTCAGAAAACCACTTGTTCCCTGTTTTCATCATCTCTGCCTCTCTACAATCACCAAGTGTAAGAATAACGACAAAAGAGGATTTTAACACTTCCCTGATGATACGAGCAGTGCGGATGCGATTACTGACACCCAATTAGATGTCAGGTTTAAATACAGACATAAGAGGACAAGAATATGTGCTGCAACATGCCACCGCTTATCAGGCCTACCACTGCAAGAGCAGGTACAACCTCAGTTCCTGTCTTAGGGAGCACACTTACGATCATAGGCAGGTAATCCAGGTGAACAGGAGACAAAGGAAAAGGAAAACAAAAGGTGCTTCAGGCAACACTCAATTCCAGTAGGGAAGGAAGAACCACCAAGTTAACAGAAGGGCTAACATGGAGTCCATTAATGCTCTCACACAACAGCAAATGGCAAGAGAAAACACATGGACACAACCAGGTGAAAGATGCATCAACAGCAACTCCATTGCTAGGAAAGACAGTTGCCTCTTCATCTCTACATCCTGCAGACCCATGCTCCTTGAACCCCTTCATGGGGTTCAAGACTTAATAATCTGGAGCAGGACACTGACACAGCCCTTCTGCCTACCCAGTTCCTCCTCTTCTTTCTCTGATGCCAAGCATCCTGGAAGCCATCACACACCACTCTATCCATGGCTTCAAACAATCTATTATTTTGGTGGAATCAAGTTACAAGGGACTGGCTTTACACCACACCCAGAGAGATCTCCTACATCCCTCCTAGACATCAAGGTCTTGGAAAGGGAACCAGAACCACACGTAACAACTCCTGAAGTGCTTGCAGAGTGCTGAGCACAGTGGGAGCGAGATCCTGAACACTCATTACAGTGGTGCAGTACATACACACTCTCAAAGTAAAGCCAGTGCTTCATGAGCAAGGCTAATCCAAAATCTGCCAAACCAGTCAGTGGAAGGACAGCAACCGGAAAGCAGCAACACTGAGAAGCACAGCAGGGAGCAGCAGTGTAAATACACAACTGCAGCACAATAGGACAGCAAGGTCATCCAGCCAAATCTGGGATCCTTACAAAGAAAGCACATCACCTGCACTCTGAACAGCAGCCACAGTACTCCAGGTATCAAACAAAATTTGCTTCACAAGGGAACTGCTACCTAGGACAGAAACTTCCAGATGAATTCATTTTAGACGATGGAGAAACACTGTAAAAAAGGAAACACCATCGGGGATATTTTTTTCATTTCAGTGCTACTTGGCCCTGCAGCCCTGAAGCCCCCAGCAGCATCTGCTGAGGATGAGATCTGCCATGTTCCCTCCTGGGGAGCACCATTAGGACACTGCAACTCAAAGCTTGCAAGAGAAATAGAGCAACAGAGAAAGAGTAAAGAAGAGACTAGCTCCTTCCTCTCTGAGGAAAATCCTGGAAACAGGGACATTATGAAAGAGGCAAAATCTGTACAGCTCATGCAGCTTCAAGGGCTGTGGGATTTCAACACTCTTCCTGAATGTAAGTGAATTAGCAGAGCAGCCCTCTTGCCTTCTCCAAAACACTGTCTTTTAAGATACATTGGTACCATGGAAAATCTGCTGATGTGCTCTTCTGGGAAAACACTGGCCTGGAGTATTTAGGACTCTGTTCCCAATGGCCAAGCACCACGAGAAGCTGTTCCAAGTAATAATAAACCCAGGGACACAGAAGCTCACACCTTTCTATCTGCACTGATACCAGGTTAAGACAAGCAAGTAAGGACTTAATTGCAACTGCTGCACAACACCAGTCTCTGGTGCAGTGCCTCTCCAGCTGGGTATCACCTTCTTGCTGTCCCACTGAAAAGTATTTTTTTTGTTGTTCCTCCTACTTCAGGCTCCTTTTCAGGACCTTCCAACTCAACAGAGAAGTCCTCAAATTTTTTCCCTTCAGGCCTCCAGGTTCTCCCCAGCTCAGATCCTGGCAGAGTCACCCATGGGTGGAAACCACCACCTCCAATACCTCAGCAGCAGGTCACCATCCTTACCTCGCATGGGTGACTTCATGGCGGCCTCGACCATGCCAACGAGAAGCTGAAGACTCTTGGGATCTTGAGCCAGTCCTGATGCAAACGCTGCCAGTGCATCCGCATGACGTCCAAGATACTGAAGGGCCACACCCTGTCGGAAGTATGCCTGAAAAGCCCAGAGAGAGGAACAAATGCCAATTACTTAATTGGTAGAAGTCACACATAACAAATCTGCCCATGACCTCAAGCGGATGGACACTGAGCTACACGATCACATTTTGACTTCTTTGGTCATGCTGGCTATAATCAGAAGAATCCAACACCAGAGTTTGGTTTTTGCCTGCCACCCAGGCACCCCACTTACTGCCTTGATGTGACAACTGTCTCAGCCTTTGCAAGGCTGCAGAAAAATGTTCTGCTCACATAAAGCAACAGCAAAGCTGCAGCTCAAAGTGTGTCCAGAACTTCCTTCAGAGCTACTGGGTAAGAGATCACAGAAACCACACCCCAGTATTGACTCAAAGCACTTAGGTATATTTGTGTATATATTTTGTAGCATATACATCTGGACACTTACAAAAGGTCTTGAACCTCTAAGCACCTTTTCTGCTCAGTATTCAGGTTTTACCCTCAAATCCAGGGAGGTGGAGATTAAGGAAAATCAGAAATGACATGAGAAATTTACAGACATGAATATTTAATCTCTCCTCCATTAGTAAGCCTTTATTGTTGAATCACTTTTAATGAATTTGATGAAAGCAGAGTTATTTTCATTAACCTTAAGTTCAAATGTGTTCTTATTGAACCAAACAAGCTACTGTACTGGAAACCCAATTCAATGTTAATTAGGTAACTAGCATGAAGCTTTAAACCGAAGTAAATACCAAGAACTCACAATGTGCACCAAGCATGAGCCCTCCCAGCAGTGAGCGAGCCGTCACCTAAAATGATGGCATACACTTTAAAGTCCATTTTTCCCTAGAATTATAGTTTAATCACTTTCTTTGCCACCTGATGACAGCTGGATTAGGAAAAAAACCAGCCTGCCCACGAGTCTCAGAGTGGTTAGTTTGCAGGGTACCAGCCTGTCCAGGAGGCAAACCCCTCGCTGCAGGAGAAGGCTCAGCCTGGCCAGACATGCCCAGGGCTGCAGAAGGACACTGGTCCTCAGCAGGTCACCACCGGTCCCCAGCACTGCCTGTCCCACCTCATCCTGCTGGAGCACCCAAGCACATCCCAACAGTGAGAAAAGAGAGTCCTGACCCTCAGCTCTGCAGGGAGGAGGCACCACAGGCTCCAGATGACAGAGGAAAACAAAACAGGGATTCACAAAACATGTGCAATTCCATACTGTGCCTTTCCAGCGCCCTTTCTGGGAAATACTTTTATCACCCTCACATCTATTCCCAGAAGGCCCCTCTGGAAACCACTTTATTTTCATACAAACACAGCATTCAGAGCCCAAAAGAAAAACCTATTAATTATAACTGAAAGGAAGATTTTGGCCATTTTTTCGCCTGCAAAAACCCCTTCCTTTCTTCTCCAGCTCCCAGTGCGTACAGAGCACTCTCCACACATTGTGCTCCCCAGAGACCTTGAACAAAATAAAAACATCCACATCACTTATTTCCTCCTCAAGAGGCATTCACAAGTTAGTTTAGTATTGGAATGAAGACAGCTTATCAAAGGAAGAAATCTCCAAAGAGGAAATGGTGAGAATCACCCTTTGGAAGGGGGAAGGAAAAGGAAAGGCAGGAGCCAGCAGCTGCAGTTGAAGAAAGGAGCCAGGCAGCAGCTTTCCTCTCTGACACAGACAGAGGCTTCCCATGCTTCAGCAAACTACATTTTTAATCACACAATTTGAAGATAAAAGAGTACTCACTGTACATGAAAAATTGCATTAATTTTCCAGTGATCACAAATAAGAAAAAAATATTGATTCCTTTTGAGAAGATGAAAGCAACACAAGAATGATGTTTTGCTGAAGACAGGACAAAAAAAAAACCAGGTGTTTTCTAACCTGTTCCCAGATCCAGGTCCAGGATTACCAGCCCTGCTCCAGCCCAAGCAGAGGTGGCTCTGCCCAGTGCCTGCTGCCCATGCTGCCAGCCCAGAGCACAAGCAGGGAGCTAGGACCACCAGCCTTTGGAGAACAGGACTAAAAGGCAAAAGGCAGCTTTACCAAACAGCCAGTCTACCAAGTGACTCAAACGAAATTAGAGACGTTGTTAGTGAGTAATTCGGCGCACCTATGGACCATTAGTTCTGGGAAACCAGACCATACTGCAGTCTCAGTCATTTTTTTAGTCCACTGGACAACAAGCCTCACTTCAGACAGTTTAAAGATTTCATCTAGCCAAGCAGAGATGGCCTGGGAAGGAGGACAGGGAATAATTAGTGCTTTTTATCCATAATACTATTGAAAGTGCTGATGATATTTAGGAAGCAAAAATAAATTACTCAGTTAATTAACTTGGAAATATATTTGGCACTTGAGACTTCAAAGCCAAGCAGAAAACTGGCCCTGAACCAGAGGCTGCTCCACAGCAGGTCCCAGCACAAACACAAGGTCTGGAGCCACACTGCACAGGGCTGTCCAGGCAGTAACTGCTCCTCCCCACACATCCAGATTTTGCCCCCTCCCCTCACTTCCCAGATGTGCCGTTTTGCTCCACCCTTTCCAGAACGTGCCATGGTTTCTTGCTAATAATGTATTTTTAAAGCTTTTCTCGATGCCTAACTTAATTTAAAAAACAATTGTATGAACAAGAGAAGAACGTAGAAGACAACCTTCCTACCCAGCCACTCCAGTTCTTCAGGCATCTAGTGGTTGGGCTGCAGCAGTCACTGTCTGCCCTACCAGACATAATTACTCTCTACAAATCTAAGCACGGGTCCTCTTTATTCTGCTCAATTTATTGACCAGTGTAGTTTCTATACAGGCTGGTATTTTTCACCTCTATTACAGCCCTTTTAACACACAAGGAGAATTCCCACCTGTCCAGGCAATGCAAACACAACACACGCTTGTTAGTTTTTGATCTTCTTCATCTGAGACCACATCTAGGTAACTATCTAGACCCCGAATACTAGGTTTTCATGCACAATCCAAAACAGGATTAGAATGTAAATGCTATCGTTGAAATGGCAGTTATTAAGAGGGGTTCTGAAATTTTTATTAACCCTTCTAATATCAACATGGAAAAACTTTTTAGGCAGACCAATTGTAAGTGGTTTGTAATTAATACAAAACATGCAATGAAAAGAACATACAGTACCAAAAAAAAGCATTTAGGAATATGAATGGGACGTCTACCATTCCCAGGATTCTGCTAAATAAAAGGAAGCCCAGTAAAGGAAGCCCAAGACAACCCAACACTTTCCTTAGTGGAATTTTTTGAAACAGGGATCTAGGCAAATAGGCAGGCTGTACTGGCACCTGTAGCAGGCTCTGGTACAACTCTTTGGGCTCATACAATTTTCCCCCATAGAATCCAGGGCAATAAATAATTCAGATCCTTAGCATGTCTCATACACAAAGCTCGCAGGAGTCAGAGGGAAGCGGCAGCCACAGGAGTTCAGTCCTGTCTTACCACGGTCTCCTGTAAGCCAGAAGCATGAGCTCATGTTTCTGGAACACAACTTAGTTCCAGCATACAGCAGCCCATATTACACTCATTCCTGGGCAGGACAGTGTAACCAAGTATTTTTAAGAAACCTAGAACTCCGGGTTTAACTGGCAGATAGTAGCCCTGCGAGACTGTACTGTCACATTGGACACATCCAGACAGCAAGCTGGGGGCCCCAGCTCCACTCTGGAGTGGGGTGACCCTTTCTGGAGTGTTCCAGGCAGAGACGGGACAGACACAGGCAGGGATGACCCTCTCCCAGCCCCAGGCAGATCTGCTGGACACCCACAGGAGCACAAAGACAAAACCCATCCTGGCATAAGGCCCCTTTGCCCAGGGCCAGGTGCCCCCCAGGCTCCCGTGCTACCCCTTCTCACAGGTGCCCCTGGGCCACTACCCCAGTAACACTGTCCTCGCCCTGTGCCAGAGCTTGTCTGTTAGTTTGTCACCAAAGTTGGGCTCAAAGAGGCTAATTTATGTAATGAATTGCCAGCCAATTTGTAACTGGATAATGGAGGCAGAAGAATGAAACTGGAAGAGCATCAAAAGAACTCGGAGCAGAAAATTACTGTGACACAAACACGGCAAACTTGAATAAAATGCCTCAGTCTTAGACAAAGGCTCTCTTTGTACACAGGGGAAGAAATTCAAAACACCTTTACATTCCTGTCGGCTTCAGACCCTGGACAACCAGTTATCTGGACAGATTTCCCACAATGCTCCCTTGGTTTGCCAGATCAGGAGATTATGCCAAAAATAGCACAAATAATCTATGATGCATTTAATCGGCCTGTCCTGAGCCTGCAGAGGCCTCCTGGGCAGAGGGACCTGCTGCCGGGGGCAGGGCTGGTGCCCACCAGAGCCCCCCGTGGCCGCCCACCCGTGGCCTACGGCACGTGCGTGACAGCCGAGGAGGAGCAACATGCGGGAACAGCTCCTGGGCGCCCAGCTCCAGGTTGAATCTTTCCTCTTCCCTTGCAACTGCTTTACAGCCAAATTTTAGAGAAACATACAGGACAAATCTCTGCTGTGGGGTTTCAGGAATGCAAGGCAGGAGGAATGTGCTTTAATTCAGAACACATGTGGCACAGGCACCAGCACCGCGGGCGGCCGCGAGCCCAGCCCTGCTCCCGCAGGTACAGACCCTCCCGCGCTGCCCGTGGCTCAGCTGGCACCAGATCTGCTGCCCTCAATCTGCCTCAGGGACACAAAGGGATCTGACAGATCTATCCTCTCTGCAGCAGAGCTTCTGTATCTGGTACCTGTCCCCAAGGTGTCTCTGCCAGGAACCACTCTACTCGGAAACAGAAATCTCCTCTAAGCCCCATTAAACCCATACAGAAAAGCAGGGTGGAACGGTGTAAAAGATCATACCTTGCTTTATCCAAAGAGCATTTAATTATTCTTATTAATTGTGCTTCCACCAGCTCCAGTAGGAGACAGTGCACAGGCCACTTGCTCACCTTGCAGATGTAACAGCCCAGGTTTTCACAAGGCTTATTGTTGCTCCATTCATGCTCACTCCAGGCTCGCCCTA